GCCTCTTCCAACCTCATCCAATCCCATCCAACATCTTCCAACCTCCTCCAACTCAATCCCATCTCATCCATCCCTATCCATCCTCATCCAATCTCATCCAATCCCATCCAATCCCATCCAATCCCATCCCACCCCATCCAACCTCATCCCACCTCATCCCACCCCATCCCACCCCATCCAACCTCCTCCCACCCCATCCCACCTCATCCAACCTCCTCCCACCCCATCCCACCTCATCCCACCTCATCCAACCTCCTCCCACCTCATCCAACCTCATCCCACCCCATCCAACCTCATCCCCACCTCCTCCCACCTTCTCCCACCCCATCCCAATCTCACCCAATCTCATCCATCCCAATCCAATCCCATCCAACCTCCTCCAACCTCATCTAACCCCATCCATCCCAATCCATCCTCATCCAATCCCATCCATCCTCATCCAATCTCATCCAATCCCATCCATTCCCATCCAATCCCATCCAATCCCATCCAATCCCATCCAATCTCATCCAATCCCATCCATTCCCATCCATTCCCATCCAATCCCATCCAATCCCATCCAATCCCATCCAATCTCATCCAATCCCATCCAATCCCATCCAATCCCATCCAATCCCATCCAACCTCATCCAATCCCATCCAACTTCATCCAATCTCATCCAATCCCATCCATTCCCACCCAATCCCATCCAATCCCATCCAATCCCATCCATTCCATCCAATCCCATCCAACTTCATCCAATCTCATCCAATCCCATCCAATCCCATCCAACCTCATCCAATCCCATCCAATCTCATCCAATCCCATCCCATCTCATCCAATCTCATCCCGCCTCCTCCAACCCTATCCTACCTCATCCAGCCTCTTCCAACCTCATCCAATCCCATCCAACATCTTCCAACCTTCTCCAACTCAATCCCATCTCATCCATCCCTATCCATCCTCATCCAATCTCATCCAATCCCATCCAATCCCATCCAATCCCATCCAATCCCATCCAACCTCATCCAACCTCATCCAATCCCATCCAATCCCATCCAGTCTCATCCAACCTCATCCAACCTCATCCAATCCCATCCAATCCTGTCCAATCTCATCCAATCCCATCCAACCTCATCCAACCTCATCCAATCCCATCCAATCCCATCCAGTCCCATCCAATCCCATCCAATCTCATCCAATCCCATCCAATCCCATCCAATCCCATCCAACCTCATCCAATCCCATCCAATCCCGTCCAATCTCATCCAATCCCGTCCAATTTCGTCCAATCCCATCCAATCCCATCCAATCCCATCCAACCTCATCCAATCCATCCAATCCCATCCAATCTCATCCAATCCATCCAATCCCATCCAATCCCATCCAATCCCATGCAATCTCATCCAACCTCATCCAATCCCATCCAATACCATCCAATCTCGTCCAATCCCATCCAATCCCATCCAATCTCGTCCAATCACATCCAATCTCCTCCAACCTCATCCAATCCCATCCAATCCCATCCAACCTCATCCAACCTCAACCAATCCCATCCAACCTCCTCCAATCTCATCCAATCCCATCCAATCCCATCCATTCCCATCCAATCCCATCCATTTCCATCCAATCCCACCCAATCTCATCCAATCCCATCCAATCTCATCCAATCTCATCCCGCCTCCTCCAACCCCATCCTACCTCATCCAGCCTCTTCCAACCTCATCCAATCCCATCCAACATCTTCCAACCTCCTCCAACTCAATCCCATCTCATCCATCCCTATCCATCCTCATCCAATCTCATCCAATCCCATCCAATCCCATCCAATCCCATCCAATCCCATCCAACCTCATCCAACCTCATCCAATCCCATCCAATCCATCCAGTCTCATCCAACCTCATCCAACCTCATCCAATCCCATCCAATCCTGTCCAATCTCATCCAATCCCATCCAACCTCATCCAATCCCATCCAATCCCATCCAATCTCATCCAATCCCATCCAGTCCCATCCAATCCCATCCAATCCCGTCCAATCCCATCCAATCCCATCCAATCCCATCCAATCTCATCCAATCCCATCCAATCCCATCCAATTTCGTCCAATCCCATCCAATCCCATCCAATCCCATCCAATCTCATCCAATCCCATCCAATCCCATCCAATCTCGTCCAATCACATCCAATCTCCTCCAACCTCATCCAATCCCATCCAATCCCATCCAATCCCATCCAATCTCATCCAATCTCATCCCGCCTCCTCCAACCCCATCCTACCTCATCCAGCCTCTTCCAACCTCATCCAATCCCATCCAACATCTTCCAACCTCCTCCAACTCAATCCCATCTCATACATCCCTATCCATCCTCATCCAATCTCATCCAATCCCATCCAATCCCATCCAATCCTATCCAATCCCATCCATTCCCATCCAATCCCATCCAATCCCATCCAACTTCATCCAATCTCATCCAATCCCATCCAACCTCATCCAATCCCATCCAATCCCATCCAATCCCATCCAATCCCATCCAATCCCATCCAACTTCATCCAATCTCATCCAATCCCATCCAACCTCCTCCAAACCCATCCAATCTCATCCAATCCCATCCAATCTCATCCAACCTCATCCAATCTCATCTAATCCCATCCAATCCCATCCAACCTCATCCCACCTCCTCCAACCCCATCCCACCTCATCCAGCCTCTTCCAACCTCATCCAATCTCATCCATCCCAATACAACCTCATCCCACCTCCTCCAATCCCATCCAATCCCATCCAATCCCATCCAATCCCATCCAACCTCATCCAACCTCAACCAATCCCATCCAACCTCCTCCAATCTCATCCAATCCCAATCCAATCCCATCCATTCCCATCCAATCCCATCCATTCCCATCCAATCCCATCCAATCTCATCCAATCCCATCCAATCTCATCCAATCTCATCCAACCTCATCCAATCTCATCCCGCCTCCTCCAACCCCATCCTACCTCATCCAGCCTCTTCCAACCTCATCCAATCCCATCCAACATCTTCCAACCTCCTCCAACTCAATCCCATCTCATCCATCCCTATCCATCCTCATCCAATCCCATCCAATCCCATCCAATCCCATCCAATCCCATCCAATCCCATCCAACCTCCTCCAACCTCATCCAATCCCATCCAATCTCATCCAATCCCATCCAATCCCATCCAATCCCATCCAATCCCATCCAACCTCATCCAACCTCATCCAATCCCATCCAATCCCATCCAATCCTGTCCAATCTCATCCAATCCCATCCAATCCCATCCAATCCCATCCAATCTCATCCAATCCCATCCAATCCCATCCAATCTCATCCAACCTCATCCAACCTCATCCAATCCCATCCAATCCCATCCAATCCTGTCCAATCTCATCCAATCCCATCCAATCCCATCCAATCCCATCCAATCTCATCCAATCCCATCCAATCCCATCCAATTTCGTCCAATCCCATCCAATCCCATCCAATCCCATCCAACCTCATCCAATCCCATCCAATACCATCCAATCTCGTCCAATCCCATCCAATCCCATCCAATCTCGTCCAATCACATCCAATCTCCTCCAACCTCATCCAATCCCATCCAATCCCATCCAATCCCATCCAATCCCATCCAATCCCATCCAATCCCATCCAATCCCATCCAACCTCATCCAACCTCAACCAATCCCATCCAACCTCCTCCAATCTCATCCAATCCCATCCAATCCCATCCATTCCCATCCAATCCCATCCATTTCCATCCAATCCCACCCAATCTCATCCAATCCCATCCAATCTCATCCAATCTCATCCCGCCTCCTCCAACCCCATCCTACCTCATCCAGCCTCTTCCAACCTCATCCAATCCCATCCAACATCTTCCAACCTCCTCCAACTCAATCCCATCTCATCCATCCCTATCCATCCTCATCCAATCTCATCCAATCCCATCCAATCCCATCCAATCCCATCCAATCCCATCCAACCTCCTCCAATCTCATCCAATCCCATCCAATCTCATGCAATTCCATCCAATCCCATCCAGTCTCTTCCAACCTCATCCAATCTCATCCAATCCCATCCAATCTCATCCAATCTCATCCAATCTCATCCAATCCCATCCATTCCCATCCAATCCCATCCATTCCCATCCAATCCCATCCAGCCCCACCCAACCTCATCCCGCCTCCTCCAACCCCATCCCACCTCATCCAGCCTCTTCCAACCTCATCCAGTCATCAATCCCAAAGGACTTTTCCCACCCTCGGCAATTCCCAAATCTCCCCCGGGATTCACCTCCTGCTCGTTGTGCGCCCTCATGGCCTCGTTCCACCGGTTCCTGTTGCTCGTCAGCATCTCCCGCCGCTCCTCCTCCAACGTTTTCTGCGGAAAAATTGGGAATTGCGGGAATTCCACACCGGGATCCCCGGGAATGGGAACAACACTCCGGGGTCTCTCCCAAAGTCATTCCCAACCCCTCAGAGCTCCGGATTCCAACCTCACCCACCCAAATTTCATCCAAAACTCTGATTTTTTTTTTCTTTTCCCAAAAAATCCTGAAAAGAACGGATTTGCCTTTCCAAACAAGCTCGGGGTCTGCTGGTGGATAAAACCAGCAGTGGGAGATGAAAGAAACAATGGGAAGGATTCCACTGATTGATGGATGGAAAAAATATTTGATTTTAGAAATAAAGTTTGGGTTTGCTGATAAATTAAATTGGACATTGAAAGATGAAAGAAACAATGGGGAAGAAACCCCTTAAATTCAGTAAGAATTAAAAATGAAAAGGGAGGGTTATAAATTAGAGGGGAATCTTTGGGATCGGGGGTTTTGGGAAGTCTGAACCTCTCAAGTACCTCAGAAATGGGAAAAAAATCCTAAATTCAGTAAAAATTAGGAATTAAAGGGAAGGTTGCACATTAGAGGGAAAATCTCAGGAGTTTTGGGAAGTCTGAACCTCTCAAGCACCTCAGAAATGGGAAAAACATCCTAAATTTCATAAAAATTAAAAATTAAAAGGGAGGGTTGTACATTAGAGGGGAATCTTTGGGATCAGTTGTTTTGGGAAGTCAACCAATGGGGGAAAAACTCTAAATTCGATAAAAATTAAAAATGAAAAGGAAAGGTTATAAATGAGAGGGGAATCTTTGGGATCGGGGGTTTTGGGAAGTCTGAACCTCTCAAGTTCCCATCTCCCGCCGCTCCACCTCCAACGTTTTCTGTGGAAAAATTGGGAATTGCGGGAATTCCACACCGGGATCCCCGGGAATGGGAACAACACTCCGGGGTCTCTCCCAAAGTCCTTCCCAACCCCTCAGAGCTCTGGATTCCAACCTCAAATTTCATCCAAAACTCTGATTTTTTTTTTTCTTTTCCCAAAAAATCCTGAAAAGAACGGATTTGCCTTTCCAAACAAGCTCGGGGTCTGCTGGTGGATAAAACCAGCAGTGGGAGATGAAAGAAACAATGGGAAGGATTCCATTGATTGATGGATGGAAAAAAAATTTGATTTTAGAAATAAAGTTTGGGTTTGCTGAAAAATGAAATTAAATGTCAAAAGATGAAAGAAATAATGGGGAAGAAACCCCCTAAATTCAGTAAGAATTAAAAATTAAAAGGGGAATGAAATGAATGAAATGAATGAATGGAAATGAATGAATGAAAAATTAAAAATGAAAAGGGGAATGAATGAAAAGTTATAAATTAGAGGGGAGTCTTTGGGATCGGGGGTTTTGGGAAGTCAACCAATGGGGGAAAAAACCCTAAATTTGATAAAAATTAAAAATTAAAAGGAAAGGTTATAAATTAGAGGGAAATCTTTGGAATCGGGGGTTTTGGGAAGTCTGAACCTCTCAAGCACCTCAGAAATGGGAAAAAAAAAATCCTAAATTCCATAAGAATTCAAAATTAAAAGAATTTATATATATATAAAGCAAAACTATAAAATATATAAAAGATTATATATAAAAGAAAATATATAAAAGAATTTACATATATATGTAAAGCAAATATATAAAATATAGAAAAGAATGTATATATAAAAAATACATAAAAGAATTTATATCCATATGTATAAAATATATAAAAGTATATAAAAAGTAAATCTATAAAATAGATTTTAAAATGTATATATATATACAGCAAAAAAAAATACATAAAAGAATTTATATATATATAAAGCAAACGTAAAAAATAAGTAAAAGAATTTATATCTGTATAAAAATCAAATATTTAAATATATAAAAGAATTTTTTATATATATAAAGCAAATCTATAAAATATGTAAAAGAATTCTTATATAAATATATATAGGAAATCTATAAAATATATAAAAGAATTTATATATATATAAAAACTGAATATATAAATATATAAAAGAATTTTTATATATATATGCAGCAAATCTATAGGATATATAAAATAATTTATATATATAAATAAATATATATAAAATATAAAAGAATTTATATATATATAAAGGAATGTATAAAATATAAAAATGAATATATATAAAATATATAAAAGAATTTATATAGATATAAAAATTGAATATATAAATATATAAAAGAATTTTTATATATATATGCAGCAAATCTAAAAGATATATAAAATAATTTATATACATAAATAAATATATATACATATATAAAATAATTTATATATTTATACAAAGGAATGTATAAAATATATAAAAGAATATATATAAAATATATAAAAGAATTTATATATATATAAATATATAAAAGAATTTTTATATATATATGTAGCAAATCTATAAGATATATAAAATAATTTATATATATAAAAATATATATAAATATATAAAATTATATATATATATAAAGGAATGGATAAAATATATAAAAGAATATATATAAAATATATAAAATAATTTATATATATATAAATATATAAAATAATTTTTATATATATAAAAAGCAAATTTATAAAATATATAAAAGAATTTATAAATATAAATCAAGCCAATATATAAAATATATAAAAGAATAAAGAAAAAAGGAGACTCCTGTCTCCTTTTTGAACATAAACCTCTGGTGTTTGTGGATTAATTTTCCCAAAAATCCGGAAACCAAATCAATTTTCCCCTTTTCCCCGTTGTTCCCATTTCCCCCGTTTTTCCCATTTTCCCGTTGTCCCGGGACTGGGGCACCTCGATGTGCCGGAGGTGGTGCCGGTAGGATTTGAGCATGGACCGCGTTTGTTCCTCCATCCTCTCCAGGAGCACCCGGGTGGCCTCGGCCTGCTCGCGCAGGGTCTGCTCGTACAGCGCGTCCCTGGCCTTCAGCTCCTGGAAAAACACGGGAAAGGAGCCGGGAATTACGGGAATGCTCAGGGGATGCGAAGGGAATGCGCAGGGAATGCTCAGGGAATGCTCAGGGAATGCTCAGGGAATGCGCAGGGAATGCTCAGGGAATGTTCAGGGAATGCTCAGGGGATGCTCAGGGAATGCTCAGAGAATGCTCAGGGAATGCTCAGGGAATGCTCAGGGAATGCACAGGGAATCCTCAGGGAATGCACAGGGAATCCTCAGGGGATTCTCGGGGAAAGGGCAGGACGCAGAATTATCGTGGACTGGATGGGAAGGGAATTCAAGGATCATCCAATTCCAACCCCGCGATCACAGCGTGAACCAAACTTTCTTTGGATGCTCCCAAAGATTCTTTGGGAATCCCTTCCCAAGATCCCACCATCCCAAACTCCCCTTTCCCACTGGAAGCCATTCCCTGCCTCCTGCCCCTCCAGCCTTCACCCCAAATCCCAGCTCTCCTTTCCCTCTGGAAAAGGCTCCAAGGATTCCCTGGATCCTTCCCTGATCCAGCTGCACATTCCCAGCTCTCCCAGCCTGGCGTTGGATCCAGCCCCATCCTGATTCCTCCTTGAGAAGGAATTTTGGGATCCAGGGGCTTCACTGGGAGTTCAGGACTCCAGGAAGGGTCTCCCTTCCCTTTTCCATTCCTAAATTCCATAAAAATCCCTCGGGATGGATCCTGAGTGCCCTTGATCCCAGAATCCTGGAATGGTTTGGGATGGGATCCATGGACCTTCAATCCCATCCCAGGGACACTTCCCACCATCCCAGGGTGATCCTAATCCACCCTTGGACGCTCCCAGGGATTCTCTGGGAATTCCAGCCCAGCCAGGAATCCCTTCCCAAGATCCCACCATCCCAAGCTCCCCTTTCCCACTGGAAGCCATTCCCTGCCTCCTGCCCCTCCACCCTTCATCCCAAATCCCAGCTCTCCTGGAGCCCCTTTGGGATGGGGAAGCGGCTCCAAGGATTCCCTGGATCCTCCCCTGATCCAGCTGCACGTTCCCGGCTCTCCCGGCCCGGATCCACACCCCCTGCTCCCAGAATTCCCAGGGCACCTCCTGGAGCTCCTGGATGAGCTGGTTCTTCCTGGCCAGGAGCTGCTCGCACTCCTGGCGCTGCTGCTCCAGCAGCTCCCACAGCTCCTGCGGCGCCTTCAGCTCCCCCGCCAGGCCCCACCTGGAGTTGATCTCCACCAGCTTCTGCGTGCCGTGCTCGGCGTCCGCCTCCAGCTTCTCCAGCCTGAGGGAACACAGGGAGCCAGGGAGATGGGACAGGGCTGGAAGTGCTCCAGACATGGGGTTCTTCCCTTCCCTGATTCCTTTCCATGAATCCCTTCCCGTCCCTGAATCCCTTTCCTCCTCTGAATTCCTTTCCTTCCCTGAATCCCTTCCATGAATCCCTTCCCGTCCCTGAATCCCTTTCCTCCTCTGAATTCCTTTCCTTCCCTGAATCCCTTCCATGAATCCCTTCCCGTCCCTGAATCCCTTTCCTCCCCTAAATCCTTGCCGTGAATCCTTCTCCTTCCCTAAATTCCCTTCCTTCCCTAAATTCCCTTCCTTCCATTAATCCCTTTCCTAAATCCCTTCCCTGGATTCCCTCCCTAAAATACCTTTCCTTCCCTTCCCTAAATCCCTTTCATTCTCTAAGTCCCTTCCTTAAATCCATTCCCTATGTCCCTTCCTAAAATCCCTTTCCTGAATCCCTTTCCTCTCCCTAAATCCCTTCCATCAATCTCCTCCCTAAATCTCTTCTCTGAATCAATTCTCTTCCCTAAATTCCTTCCCTAAATCCCTCTCCTTCCCTAAATCCCCTCCCTGAATCCCTTTCCTAAATCTCTTCCCTAAATCCCTTCCCTTAAACCCTTTCCTAAATCCATTCCCTGAATCCCTTCCCTAAATCCCTTTCCTTCCCTGAATTCCTTTCCTTCCTTAAATCCTTTCCTTAAAATCCCTTTCCACCCCTTCTCTAAATCTCTTTCCTACATCCCTTCCATGAATTCCTCCCCTAAATCCCTTCCCTTCCCTAAATCCCCTCCCGAAAATCCTTTCCCTAAATTCCCTCCCTAAAATCCCTTCCCTAAATCCCTTCCCTAAATTCTTTCCCTAAATCCATTCCCTAGATCCCCTCCCTAAAATCCCTTTCCTCCCCTAAATCCCTTCCCTAAATCCATTTCCTAAATCGCTTCCATTAATTCCTTCCCTGAATCCCTTCCCGAAATCTCCTCCCCAAAATTCCTTCCCTAAATCTCTTCCCTAAATCCCCTCCCTAAAATCTCTTCCCCTCCATAAATCCCTTCCTTAAATCCCTTCCCTGAATCCCCTTCCTAAATCTCTTCCCTAAAACCCTTTCCTAAATCCATTACCTAAATAATCACTTCCCTGAATTCCCTTCCTTCTGTAAATCCCTTTCCTTTCCTTTCCTTTCCTTTCCTTTCCTTTCCTTTCCTTTCCTTTCCTTTCCTTTCCTTTCCTTTCCTTTCCTTTCCTTTCCTTTCCTTTCCTTTCCTTTCCTTTCCTTTCCTTTCCTTTCCTTCCCTTCCCTTCCCTTCCCTTCCCTTCCCTTCCCTTCCCTTCCCTTCTTCTCCCTGAATCCCTTTCCTGAATCCCTTCCCTAAATCCCATCCCTACAATCATTCTCTTCCCTAAATCCCCTCCCTAAACTCCCTTCCTTAAATCCATTCCCTAAATCCATTCCCTAAATCCCTTACATGAATCCCTTCCCTGACTCCCTTCCCTAAATCTGTTCCCTAAAATCCCTCTTCTTCCCTAAATCCCTTCCCTAAATCCCTTCCCTAAATTTCCTTCCTTCCCAAAATCTCTTCCCTGAATCTCTTCCCTATATCTCTTCTACAAAATCCTTTCCCAAATCCATTCCCTAAATCCCTTCCATTAATTCCTTCCCTAAATCCATTCCCTAAAACCCTTCCCTAAATTCATTCCCAAAATCCCCTCCCTAGATCCCTTCCCAAAATCCCTTTCCTAAATCTCTTTCCTTCCCTGAATCCCTTCCCTGAATCCCTTCCCTGAATCCCTTCCCTAAATCTGTTCCCTAAATCACTTCCTTAAATCCCTTCCCTAAATCCCTTCCCTAAATCCCTTTCCTAAATCCATTCCCTGAATCCCCTCACTATTATCCTTTCCTAAATTCATTCCCTAAATCCCTTCCATGAATCCCTTCCCTTCCCTGAATCCCTTCCATTAATTCCTTCCCTAAATCCCTTTCCTAAACCCCTTTCCTTCCCTAAATTCCTTCCCTAAAACAATTTTCTTTCCCTAAATCCATTCCCTGAATCCCTTCCCTGAATCCCTTCCCTAAATCTGTTCCCTAAATCACTTCCTTAAATCTCTTCCCTAAAACCCTTTCCTAAATCCATTCCCTAAACCCCTTTCCTACCCTAAATCCCTTTCCCTAAATCCTTTCCATGAATCCCTTCCCTAAAATCCCTTCCCTAAATCCATTCTCTAAATCTCTTCCCTAAATCCCTTTCCTTCCCTAAATCCGTTCCCAAAATCCCTTCCATGAATTCCTTCCCTGAATCCCTTTCCTAAACCCCTTTCCTTCCCTAAAACAATTTTCTTACCCTAAATCCATTCCCTGAATCCCTTCCCTAAATCCATTCCTTAAATCCCTTCCCTAAAACCCTTTCCTAAATTCATTTCCTAAATCTCTTCTGTGAACTCCTTCCCTAAATCCATTCCCTAAATTCTTTCCCTAAATCCCTTCCCTTCCCTAAATCCCTCCCCTAAATCTCTTTCCTTTCCTGAATTCCTCTCCTTCCCTAAATCCCTTCCCTGAATTCCTTCCATTAATCCCTTCCATGAATCCCTTCCCTAAATCCCTTTCCTTCCCTGAATCCCGGGAGCACGGATTCGGTGTTTCCTGATGGAAAAGCAGGATGGGACCACCCAGGAATGATCCTGGCGGGGATCAGGGAATTCCAGAGGGTGGAAAAACCTTTGGAAAACCCCAGCAGCAAAAAAATTCCACTGCCAGAGCAGGACGGGCGGGGCCTTTCCTGGAATGGGCTGAGGAATTCCAAGAAGGAATTCCAGGATGGCTTGGGATGGGATTTGTGGAGCTTCAATCCCATCCCATTCCAACCCAACGATCCAAGAGTGATCCCAAACCTTTCCTGGGACGCTCCCAGGGGTTCTCTGGGAATCCCAGCCCAGCCAGGAATCCCTTCCCAAGATCCCACCATCCCAAGCTCCCCTTTCCCACTGGAAGCCATTCCCTGCCTCCTGCCCCTCCATCCTTGCCCAAATCCCAGCTCTCCTTTCCCTCTGGAAAAGGCCCCAAGGATTCCCTGGATCCTTCCCTGATCCAGCTGCACATTCCCAGCTCTCCCAGCCTGGCGTTGGATCCAGCCCCATCCCGACTCCTCCTTGAGAAGGAATTTTGGGATCCAGGGGTTTCACTGGGAATTCAGGACTCCAGGGAGGGTCTCCCTTCCCTTTTCCATCCCTGAATTCCATAAAAATCCCTCGGGATGGATCCTGAGCATCCTTGATCCCAGAATCCCGGAATGGTTTGGGGTGGGATCCATGGACCTTCAATCCCATCCCAGGGACCCTTCCCACCATCCCAGGGTGATCCAAACCCACCCTTGGACACTGCCAGGGATCCTCTGGGAATTCCCTGGGAGTTCAGGACTCCAGGAAAGATCTCCTTTCCCTTTTCCATCCCCAAATTCCATAAAAGTCTCTTGGGATGGATCCTGAGTGTCCTTGATCCCAGAATCCCGGAATGGTTTGGGATGAGATCCGTGGACCTTCAATCCCATCCTATTTCCACCCCACCATCCCAGAATGATCCAACCTTTCCTTGCACACTGCCAGGGATTCTCTGGGAATTCCAGCCCAGCCGGGAATTCCTCCCCAAGATCCCACCATCCCAAGCTCCCCTTTCCCACTGGAAGCCATTCCCTGTTTCCCACCCCTCCATCCCATTCCCAAATCCATCTCCACCTCTCCAAGAAACCTCCGGAAAACTCCCCCAAACCACCTGGGCCAGGTGGGATTTGGGACCTCGTCACGGGCCGGGATTTCCCATGGGAATCCGGCAGAATTCCCAAAATCCCAAGCTCACCTCCTGCGCTTGTCCTGCCTGTCCTTTTCCCGCCGCTGCGATTCCCGGAGGTCGGATTCCACCTGGACGTTGGTCAGCAGCTGCGTCCCGTGGAAAAGGAGCTTGGCCAGGGCCTGCCGGGAAAGGGACATCCCGGGAATTTGGGCTTGGAACGCACCAATCCCGGAGCTTTCCCATCCATGGGATGGGTGGGGATCCAAGTCCAAGGAGCCCGGTCAAATCCCAATCCCTCAAGGATCCCGAAATCCCTTTCTTTGCCTAAATCCCTTCCCTGAATCCCATCCCATAGTCTCATTCTGGAATCCCACCCCATAATTCCATAATCCCATCCCATAATCCCATCCTGGAATCTCTTCCTGGGATCCCATCCCAGAATCCCATCCTGAAATCCCTTCCCAGAATCCCTTCCGAGGATCCCATCCCAAAATCCCATCTGTGAATCCTATCCCATCTCATCATCCCATAATCCTTTCCCATAGTCCCATCCCATAATCCCATCCTGGAATCCCATCCCAAAATCCCATGACAGAATCCCATCCCACATCCCCATCCCATAATCCCATCCTGGAATCCCATCCCAGAATTCCATCCTGGAATCTCATCCCATCCCATAATCCCAGAATCCCTTCCCATAATCCCATCACGGATTCCCATTCCATAGTTCCATAATTCCATCCCAGAATCCCATAATCCCATCCCATAATCTCATCCTGGAATTCCTTCCTGGAATCCCATCCCATAATCCTTTCCCGGAATTACATCCCATAATCCCATCCCATCCCATAATCCCATCCCAGAATCCCATAATCCTATCCCAGAATCCCATCCTGGAATTCCATCCCAGAATCTCAGAATTCCATCCCAAAATTCCATCCTGAAATCCCACCCCAAAATCCCATCCCATAATCCCATGACATAGTCCCATCCTGGAATCCCATCCCATAATCCCATAATCCCATCCTGGAATCCCATCCCATAATACCATAATCCCATAATCCCATAATCCCATCCTGGAATCCCATCCCAGAATCCCATCTCAGAATCCCATCCTGGCATCTCATCCCATCCCATAATCCCATAATCCCATCCTGGAATCCCATCCTGGAATCCCACCCCATAATCCCATCCTATACCCCATCCCATAATCCCCTCCCATAATCCCATCCTGGAATCCTGCCCATAATCCCATCCCAGAATCCCATTCTGGAATCCCATCCCGGAATCCCATCCCATATCCCCATCCTATAATCCCATCCTGGAATCCCACCCCATAATCCCATCCCATATCCCCATCCTATAATCCCATCCTGGAATCCCACCCCACAATCCCATCCCGGAATCCCATCCCAGAATCCCATCCTGGAAACCCATCCCAGAATCCCTTCCTGGAATTCCATCCCATAATCCCATCCCATAATCCCACTCCAGAATCTCATCCCAGAGTCCCTTCCTGGAATCCTGCCCCATAATCCCATCCTGGAATTGCATCCCAGAATCCCATCCCAAAATCCCACAATCCCATCCCATAATCCCATCTCAGAACCCCATCCCAGAATCCCATCCAATCCCAGAATCCTCGTTTAAGGTTGGAAAAGCCCAACCATTTCCAGTACCAAGGATCCAGCCCCAATCCCAGTCCTGGGGAGTTCCTGTCCCGGTTTTTGGCCCCAAAAGGAGGAAAACCAGGGATAAGAAAGGATCCAAGAGGAGATTCCCGTTGGATCCCAAATCCTGATCCTAAGGTGATCTTCTCCCTTTTTTTTTGTCTCATCTCTCCCGGTTGTTGGCCCAAAAAGGAGGAAAACCACGGATAAGAAAGGATCCAAGAGGAGATTCCCAATGGATCTCAAGGATCTGGCCCAAATTCCCACTCTGGAGTTTCCCTCCCGGTTTTTGGTCCAAAAAGGAGGAAAACCAGGGATAAGAAAGGATCCAAGAGGAGATTCCCGTTGGATCCCAAATCCCAGTCCTGGGGAGTTTCTCTCCCGGTTTTTGGCCCAAAAAGGAGGAAAACAAGGGATAAGGAGGGATCCAAGAGGAGATTCCCATCGGATCCCAAATCCCGGTCCTGGAGAAATTTTTTGTCCCACCAAGGGAACGCCAAGGAGGAAAACACGGAACAAGGATGGATCCAAGAGGAGATTCCCATTGGATCCCAAATCCCACTCCTGGGGAGTTTCTCTCTTGGATTTTTGTCCCACCAAGGGAACGCCAAGGATCAAAACAAGGGATAAGGATGCATCCAAGAGGAGATTCCCATCGGATCCCAAATCCCGGTCCTAAAATGTTCTTCTCCCATTTTTTTGTGTCCCATCAAGGAGAAACCAAGGAGAAAAAACATGGAACAAGGAGGGGATTCAAGAGGAAATTCCTAACTGATCCTGATGATCCAGCCCAATCCCAGTCCTGGGGAGTTTCTCTCCCGGTTTTTGGCCCAAAAAGGAGGAAAACCAGGGATAAGGATGGATCCAAGAGGAGATTCCCATTGGATCCCAACTCCCAGTCTTGAGGAGTTTCTCTCCCAGTTTTTTGTCCCATCAAAGGGGACACTAAGGATCAAAACAAGGGATAAGGAGGGATCCAAGAAGAAAATTCCCATTAGATCCCACATCCCGGTCCTGCTGAATTTCTCTCCCAAGTTTTTGTCCCATCAAGGGGACACCAAGAAGGAAAACATGGAACAAGGGTGGATCCAAGAAGAGATTCCCATTGGATCCCAAATCCTGGTCCTGGGGAGGTTTTCTCCTGGATTTTTGTCCCATCAATGGGACACCAAGGAGGAAAACGCGGAACAAGGAGGGATCCAAGAGGAAATTCCCACCGGATCCCAAATCCCGGTCCTGGGAAGTTTCTGTCCCGGTTTTTTGGCCCATAAAGGAGGAAAACAAGGGATAAGGAGGGATCCAGGAGGAGATTCCCAATGGATCTCAAGGATCTGGCCCAAATTCCCGCTCTGGAGTTTCTCTCCCGGTTTTTGGCCCAAAAAGGAGGAAATCCAGGGATAAGGAGGGATCCAAGAGGAAATTCCCATCGGATCCCAAATCCCAGTCCTGGGGAGTTTCTCTCCCGGTTTTTGGCCCAAAAAGGAGGAAAACAAGGGATAAGGAGGGATCCAAGAGGAGATTCCCATCAGATCCCAAATCCCGGTCCTAAAATGTTCTTCTCCCATTTTTTTGTGTCCCATCAAGGAGAAACCAAGGAGAAAAACATGGAACAAGGAGGGGATTCAAGAGGAAATTCCTAACTGATCCTGATGATCCAGCCCAATCCCAGTCCTGGGGAGTTTCTCTCCCGGTTTTTGGCCCAAAAAGGAGGAAAACCAGGGATAAGGATGGATCCAAGAGGAGATTCCCATTGGATCCCAACTCCCAGTCTTGAGGAGTTTCTCTCCCAGTTCTTTGTCCCATCAAAGGGGACACTAAGGATCAAAACAAGGGATAAGGAGGGATCCAAGAGGAAATTCCCATTGGATCCCACATCCCGGTCCTGCTGAATTTCTCTCCCAAGTTTTTGTCCCATCAAGGGGACACCAAGAAGGAAAACATGGAACAAGGGTGGATCCAAGAAGAGATTCCCATTGGATCCCAAATCCTGGTCCTGGGGAGGTTTTCTCCTGGATTTTTGTCCCATCAATGGGACACCAAGGAGGAAAACGCGGAACAAGGAGGGATCCAAGAGGAAATTCCCACCGGATCCCACATCCCGGTCCTGGGAAGTTTCTGTCCCGGTTTTTGGCCCATAAAGGAGGGAATCCAGGGATAAGGAGGGATCCAGGAGGAGATTCCCAATCCCTCCTCACCCTCTCGGTCTCCTCGACCAGCTTCAGGCTCTTCCCCTTCTCCTCCTCCTCCGCCTGCTCCTCGTCCTGCTCCACCTTCTCTCCAAGCGCTTCCCTGGCAGGGAAACGGGGAAAATTTGGATTATTTTTATTATTATTATTACTATTATTGTTGTTGTTATTGTTATTATTGTTGTTATTGTTAATAATAACAACAACAACAATAATAGTAGCAACAATAATATTTTAATATATCAATATAAATTTAATTCAATTAATGCAAATATATAAAATGTATCTATAATAAATATCATATCATATCTTATCATATCATATCATATTCATATTAATTTAATTATTAAAAACTTTTATATGAATGGATTTGGGATGGGTTTGGAGCCCTGGGAATGGTCCTGAGCCCTGGGGATGGATTTGGGATGGATCCTGAGCCTTGGATTGGGTTTGGGATGGATCCTGAGCCTTTGGGATGGATCCTGAGCCTGGGATTTGGTTTGGGATCAATCCTGAGCCTGGGGTTGGGTTTGAGACAGATCCTGAACCTGGGATTTGGTCTAGGATGGATCCTGAGCCTTTGGAATTTGGTCTGGGATGGATCTTGAGCCTGAGACTGGGTTTGGGAGGGATCCTGAAACTTTGGGATTGGGTTTGGGATGGATCCTGAGGCTTTGGGATGGATCCTGAGCCCTGGGAATGGATTTGGGATGGGTTTGGAGCCCCGGGAATGGTCCTGAGCACTGGGGATGGATTTGGGATGGATCCTGAGCCTCTGGGATGGATCCAGAGCCTGGGATTGGGTTTGGGATGGATCCTGAGCCTTTGGGATTGATCCTGAGTCTGGGATTTTGTTTGAAATGGATCCTGAGCCTGGGATGGATCCTGAGCCCGGGATTTGATTTGGGACAGACCCTGAGTTCTGGGAATGGATTTGGGATGGATCCTGAGCCTGGGATTTGGTTTGGATGGAGCCTGAGCACAGGGAATGGATTTGGGATGGGTTTGGATCCCTGGGAATGGTCCTGAGCCCTGAGGTTGGATTTGGGATGGATCCTGAGCCTGGGATTTGGTCTGGGATGAATCCCAAACCCGGGACTGGCTTTGGGATGGATCCCAATTCTTTGGGATGGACTCTGGGCCTGGGATTTGGTTTGGAATGGATCCTGAGCCTGGGACTGGGACTCGGATGGATTTTGAGCTTTGGGAATTGTTCCGAGCACTGGGGATGGATTTGGGATGGATCCTGAAACTTTGGGATGGATCCTGAGCCTTTGGGACTGGGTCTGAGATGGATCCTGAGCCTGAGATTGCATTTGAGATGGATCCTGAGCCTGGGATTGGGATGGATCTTGAGCCTAGGATTGGGTCTGGAATGGATCCTAGGCCTTTGGGACGGAGCCTGAGCCCTGGGAATGGATTTGGGATGGGCTTGGAGCCTCGGGAATGGTCCTGAGCACTGGGGATGGATTTGGGATGGATCCTGAGCCTCTGAGATGTATCCTGAGCCTCTGGGATTGGAACTGGGATTGATCCTGAGACTTTGGGGTGGATCCTGAGCCAAGGATTGGGATGGATCCTGACCCTGGGATTGTGTTTGGGATGGATCCAGAGGCTGGGATTGGGTTTGGGATGGGTTTGGAGCCCCGGGAATGGTCCTGAGCACTGGGGATGGATTTGGGATGGATCCTGAAACTTTGGGATGGATCTTGAGCTCTGGGATTGGGTCTGAGATGGATCCTGAGCCTGGATTAGGATTGGGATGGATCCTGAGTTCTGGGATTGGATTTGGGATGGATCCAGAGTGCTGGGAATGTCCCTGAGCCCCTGGGATGTGTTTGGGAGGGATCCCAAGCCTGGGACTGGGTTTTGGGATGGATCCTGAGCCCGGGACTCGCTTTGGGATGGACTCTGAGTTCTGGGAATGTTCCTGATTCCCCGGGATGGGTTTGGGACGGATCTCGAGCCCCGGTTCCGATTCTGAGCCCCAGCTTTGGGGTCGGTTCCTGTTATCGGCCCAGTTTGGGGCGGGGACCCCCCACCACCCCCTTCCCTCTGGAAAACCGGGAATGGGGCCCCGGCCTTCCCCGTTCCTCACCGGCGCCGGGCATCGATGCGGTTCCGGCGGGCGGCGATTCGCTGCTGCAGCTGCCAATCCGCTCTGGAACCGGCACGGGAACCGGGACCGATACCGGCATCGGGAACGGCATCGGTACCGGCATCGGGAACGGGACCGGGAACGGCGTCGAGAACGGCATCGGGAACGGGACCGGGACCGGCATCGGGACCGGGACCGGGACCGGGACCGGGACCGGGACCGGGACGGGGAGCGGAATCGGGATCGGGAAACGGCACCGGGACCGGTACCGGGATCAGCACCGGGATCCGGCTCGGGACGGACTTTAGGATCGAGCTCAGGCTCCGGTTCGGGCTCCGCGGGCTCCACGCTCGGGCCTGGACCCACCCCGTCCGCCCCCGGCTCCATGAGCACACCGGGGCGCAGGTTGCGCCTCCGTTACCGCGCATGCGCGGCTCCCGTTACCCCGGCAACGGCTGATGCGCGGCGCTCACTGCGCATGCGCGTACCCTGAGCGTCCCCCCGTTGCCGAGCAACGGGTGTGTCATCACCTGCGCGGGGCCGCGCATGCGCGGTGGCGCTTCCCGTTGCTTGGCAACGGCGGGAGCATCATGCCCCCCCTCCCCCCCTCCGCTCCCAAATTTTCCAAATTTTCCCGGCGCGTTTTTCGTGGGAAACAGCGGGAAAAAGGCACCGGGAGAGCTCCTACCGCTCCTTCCCGCCGGATCCGGGAGATGGGAACGGGGTTGGAGTGAGGGGAGGGGCTGGGAGGGAATTCCCACAGAATTCCTGGGAATGTCCGAGGAAAGGTTGGAGCACCCTGGGATTGGGGTTGGGATTGAAAGTCCATGGATCCATTCAAAAAAATTCCGGGATTCTGGCATCGAGGACACTCAGGATCCATCCCGAGGGGATTTTTTATGGAATTCGGGGATGGAAAAGGGAAGGGAGACCCTTCCTGGAGTCCCCCAATTCCCAGTGAAAACCCCTGGATCCCGAAATTCCTTCACAAGGAGGAGTCTGATGGGAATGGATCCCGAGCCTATGACTGGGGGAGCTGAAATGGAGGGAATTCCCTGGGAAAGGGGAACTTGGGATTTTGGGATCTTGGGAAGGGATTCCTGGCTGGGCTGGAATTCCCAGAGAATCCCTGGCAGTGTCCAAGGGTGGATTTGGAGCACCCTGGGATGGTGGGAAGTGTCCCTGGGATGGGATTGAAGGTCCATGGATCCCATCCCAAACCATCCCGGGATTCTGGGATCAAGGACACTCAGGATCCATCCCGAGGGATTTTTATGGAATTCAGGGATGGAAAAGGGAAGGGAAACCCTTCCTGGAGTCCTGAATTCCCAGAGAATTTCCTGAATCCTGAAATTCCTTCTCAAGGAGGAGTTGGGATGGGGCTGGATCCAACGCCAGGCTGGGAGAGCTGGGAATGTGCAGCTGGATCAGGGGAGGATCCAGGGAATCCTTGGGGCCTTTTCCAGAGGGAAATTTGGGATTCCAGAGCCGGGATTTGGGATTTGGGGTGAAGGCTGGAGGGGCAGGAGGCAGGGAATGGCTTCCAGTGGGAAAGGGGAGCTTGGGATGGTGGGATCTTGGGAAGGGATTCCTGGCTGGGCTGGGATTCCCAGAGAATCCCTGGCAGTGTCCCAGGACAGAGATCCCACTCCCAAATCCTGGGAATTTGCTTTTCCAGCCTCCCTCACGGCCCGATCTCCACAATTTCCCGGAATTCCATGAATTCCATGGATTCCATGGAACAGAACCCTCCAGGCTCAGCATTCCCGGTTCCTCCTCCTCCTCCTCCTCCTCCTCGGGGGGTGTGGGAGCCGCCTGTTGCCATGGGGGGTTGGTTGCCATGGAATTGGGATCCGCAGTTTCCATGGAAATCGGGGGAGGTTGGGAATGGGATGGGGTGGAGGGGGAGGGGAGGGTGAGGCCCTGCCAGGATTCCCGGGATGGGCCCAAAATTTTTTTGGGGGGGGAAAAAATTCCACCTCTTCCTCCCTCAATTCCTGCTTTTTTTCCCCTTCATGGAATTTTCCTTTTCCAGGGAATTTCGCAGCCCTGGTGGGGCTGATCTGGGGGTCAAGGAGTGGGAATATTCCATGGGGATAATTTACGGAAAATCCCAGATTTTTTGGGATTTCCTGATGCCTTTCAGATTGCTCCAGGATGCAGCGATCCAAATTCTTCCCTCCAGGAATGCCGAGATGGGAAAAATCCTGGAATTTCAGCCTGATCCATCCCTTTCCCAACCCTGAATCCCAAAAGATGAGGAAAAATGGGATGACCCCACAACCTGACCCCATCCACCCACCCCCATTCCCGCCCTTTTCCACGATTTTTTTTCTGGAAAAAAAAAATCCCTTAAAACTCAACAAAAAGTGGAATTATCCAAGTAAACCATGGAATTATCGCGGTTTGGAGGGCCGGGAAGCCCCGAATTCCTGGGAATGCTGGAATGAGGAGGAGGAGGGGAAGGGTTGGGGAATTTTTTCCGCAGCTCCGGGAGATGGCAGCAAGTGCCCGCGGCATTCCCGGCGGTGGGAACGGCTCCATCCAAACCCTCTGCAAGTGGCTCCAACTTCTCCCGCTCCCAAATCCCGGCCGGACCCTCCAAGGAGCTCATTCCCTGCTTGGAAAAAAAAAAAAAAAAAGTGAGTGAATTCCTAAATTTTTTTTTTTTAAAAATTAAAAAATTAATTTTATTTTTTCCCCCCGCAATTCCAAAGCGTCGCTCCCTAGCGGTGGGAAAAGGGAAAAAAAAACAGAAATCCGGGCGGATTTTGATTCCCAGCTCTCCGTGCCAATGGAAAAAGGGGAAAATTGGGAAGTGGAAGGAAAAGGGGGAGGGAGCAGCGGTTTCCCGGGAACCGTTCCCGGAGCGACGATTCCAAAGGGATCGCCTTTGGGAAAAAAGGGAAAAAAAGGGGGAAAAAAAAGGGAAAAAAAGGGAGCATGGGATGGCTCAGCCGCCTCCTGAGTGAGTCCTCGGGAATCCGCCGGGATTTTTGGGATCATGGGGAATTATTCGGGAATTATTCGGGAATTATTTGGGAATTATTCGGGAAATATTCGGGAATTATTTGGGAATTATTCGGGAAAAATTAGGGAATTTAGGGAAGGGTTTTCCAAGCCCAAAATCGTCTGGGATTTGAGGTGGGATGGGAAAAGGGACGAGGAGGAGCGGGATGGTTCCTGCTCGGAACTCATCCACGGAGATTCCCCGGGGGAATTTTGGAGGATTTGAGATCCGGGGAGATTCTCGGAGGGGATTTTTGGGGGATTTGAGATCTGGGGGGGATTCCTGGAGGGAATTTTTGGGGGTCCGAGACTGGAGGAGATTCCTGGAGGGAATTTTTGGGGGATTTGAGATCCGGGGAGATTCTCAGAGGGAATTTTTGGGGGATTTGAGATCCGGGGAGATTCCCGGAGGGAATTTTGGAGGGTCTGAGATCCAGGGAGATTCCTGGAGGGAATTTTTGGGGATTTGAGGTCCGGGGAGATTCCCGGCCAGCCCTGAGGATCCAGGATTCCAGCCGGGAGTGTGGGAATTGCGCAGCTCCGGGTGCGTGGGAGAGCTCGGGAACAGCCGGGGATGGGAATCTTTGGGATCCAGGGAAAGAGGGATCTGCCCGGGATCCCGGGATTTGGGGTCCCCAAAAGGGAATTCGAGGTGGATTTTATGGGATGTGGAATTCCAGAGAAGGGGATGGAGGAATTCCCGGGGGGGTTTTGGGGAATGGGGGAGCCCCACATTCCTTGGGGGGGTCGTTCCCGAATTTTGGGGTTGTGGACAGGTGGGACCACCTGGATCAGGGAAAATTTGGGAGCAGCGGGGAAGGAGAAGGAGATGGGGGATGGGAATGGAGTGGGAATGGGAATGGGATTGGGAAGGGGAATGGGAATGGGAATGAGATTGGGATGGGGATGAGATTGGAAATTGAAATGGGAATAAGAATTGGATTGGGATTGGGAATGGGAATCAGAATGGGAATGGGATCGGGAATGGGAAACTGGGATTGGGAGTGAGAATGGGATTGGGAGTGGGAATGGGAATGGTAATGGGAATGGAAATGGAAATGGGAATGTGATGGAGATTGGGAATGGGATTGGGAATGGGATTGGGAATGGGATTGGGAATGAGCCGGGTGTGTTTGGACACCACTGTGGGCTGCAGGTCCACAGGAATTCCCACCTGGAATTTTGGGAATTCCCCCCTTCACTTCCCCATTCCCACTGGCAATTCCCAGCACATCCCCAAACTGTGGGATCAGGGGCACCCCACTGCTCCCCTCCCCTTCCTGCTTTCCCTCCTGGCATTCCCATAATTTTAAACCACTCTGGGATCGGGATTGGGATCGGGATTAAAATCCAGATTGGGATCGGGATCAGGATCGGGATCGATTGGGATTGGGATTTCTCCTCAGTGCAGGATCCTCGGGGCAGAATTCCCAGGATCCCAGGGATCCCAGGAGTGGGAAGAATCCTCTGGGCCAGGAAAGGGGCTGCAGCTCCACAGGAATTCCCACCTGGAATTTCGGGAAGTGCCCACCCCCCTTCACTTCCCCATTCCCACTGGGAATTCCCAGCTCGTCCCGGGGCCGCAGCCACCCCCAAACTGTGGGATCAGGGGCACCCCATTGCTCCCTTCCCCTTCCCGTTTTTCTTCCTGGCATTCCTATAATTTTAAAACACTCTGGGATCGGGATCAGGATCGGGATTAGGACTGGGATTGGGATTGGGATCAGGATACGGATTGGGATTCCTCCTTGGTGAGGGATCCTCGGAGCAGAATTCCCAGGATCCCGGGAATCCCAGGAGTGGGAAGAATCCTCTGGACCAGGAATGGGGCTGCAGCTCCACAGGAATTCCCACCTGGAATTTCGGGAAGTGCCCACCCCCCTTCACTTCCCCATTCCCACTGGGAATTCCCAGCTCATCCCGGGACCGCAGCCACCCCCAGACTTCCCGGTTTTCCCCCTGGCATTCCCATAATTTCAAACTCCTCTGTGGGATGGGGACTCGGGACTCGTCCTGCGGGCGGAATTCCCTGGATCCCGGGGATGGATCCCGGCACCGGGAAGGTGCCGCCGCTTCCCGGGAGAGCGGCGGCGCCCCGGCACCGCCTCCCGCTCCTTCCTTCCCCCTTCCTGCCCCGGCTCCTCCCGCGCCCCGGGAGCGGCTCCGGCTTTTCCCGGGATCCGGGGGGGAATCCTGGAATCCCCCCCCGGCGCCGGGAGAGGAGCGGGAAGGATTCCCGGGAATCCGCGCCCGGAATTCCCGGCGGGTTCCCAAAGCTCCGCGGCCGTGCGGGTGAGGGGTTGCCGGAGTTTTTCGGCTTTCCCAATTTTCCATCCCGGCTTCATGGGAAGCGCTGTCTGGAGGTGATAGCGGCGGTTCCCGGGGGATCCGATCCCAACGGGAGCAGGGAGCCGGGATT